TTGACGGTGTGGACCACAACAAACTATGGCAAGTTCTTAAAGAAATTGGAGTGCCTTATCTATCCCCTGAGAAACCTGGGACAGGAAGCTACAGTTAGAACTGCATATGGAACACTTGATTGGTTCAAAATTGGGAAAGGAGTACTACAAGGCTGTATATTGTCTCCCTGCTTATTTAACTTATATGGAGAACACATTATGCGGAAGGCTGGACTGGAGGAATCCCAAGCCGGAATCAAGATTGCCGGAAGAAATATCAACAACCTCCGATATGCAGATGATACCACTCTGATGGCAGAAAGTGAGGAGGAATTAAAGAACCTCTTAATAAGGGTGAAAGAGGAGAGCACAAAAAATTGTCTAAAGTTCAGAATCCAAAAAACAAAGATCATGGCCACTGGTCCCATCACCTCCTGGCAAATAGAAGGGGAAGATATGGAGGCAGTGACAGATTTTACTTTCTTGGGCTCCATGATCACTGCAGATGGAGACAGCAGCCACAAAATTAAAAGACGCCTGCTTCTTGGGAGGAAAGCGATGACAAACCTTGACAGCATCTTAGGAAGCAGAGACATCACCTTGCCCACAAAGGTCTGCATAGTCAAACCTCTTGTTTTCCCTGTAGTGTTGTATGGAAGTGAGAGCTAGACCATAAAGAAAGCTGACCGCTGAAGAATTGATGCTTTTGAATTGTGGTGCTGGAGGAGACTCTTGAGGGTCCCCTGGACTGCAAGGAGATCAAACCTATCAATTCTGAAGGAATTCAACCCTGAGTGCTCACTGGAAGGACAAATCCTGAAACCTAGGCTTCAATACTGTACTTTGGCCATCTCATGAGAAATCTCCTTGGAAAAGACCCAGATGTTGGGAAAGAGTGAAAGCAGGAGGAGAAGGGGACGGCAGAGGACGAGATGGTTGGACAGTGTCATTGAAGCAACGAACATGAATTTGACCCAATTCCAGGAGGCAGTGGAAGACAGGAGGGCCTGGCGTCCTCTGGTCCATGGGGTCACGAAGAGTCGGACACAACTGAATGACTAAACAAGAAAACATTATTTGAGCAGCATATTATTGCACTGAAATATTACTGGGTCTTGAATTTCATGAACTGCTTACCATTTCCTCCCATAATCAAAAGAAGGGGGACGGGGAAAGAGAGGATTTAGCATCATTAAAGACACAAAGGCAAGGTTCAAATAATACATTCTATTTTAATACAGACTAGGAAGTGATTAAAGACTGGCCTTACTTTTTCAGGCTGCATTTGATCCACAAACACATTTGTTAAAACAAAAACTCTTCTGTTTCTTATATTTTTATGTTGTTAGTAATTATTGCTTTTCTATTATGTGTCTGCAGGGTTCTCTTTTAGACATTACATTTTGCTACGAGGCAGTTTGTCATTGCATCCATTTCTTTCTTTCTAAAAATAATTACCTACTTTGAACCATGGGCACTGCCTCACCTGCAGGATCACTGGTTTGGTTTGTTTTTTTTTTAAGTACAGAGATAACACAGAGAGATTAGCAGAGCACAGTTCTTTGAATTACAGTAGCTCAGGTACAAAGCATCGTTTCCCCAATGGATGCATTTATAATCGTAGCCACAAGCTGGCAATAAACACGTCAGCATTATAAGACTTTAAAACGAATTATCTTTTTTTTCTCACTGAAAAAAATAATATTGTACATCAGAGTGGAGCGAGGAAGAAGAAAGGTTCAGCCTTGGTGTGAGATTACTCCTTCATTTGAGGAAGGCCATTTATTCTCTCCATTCTGGAATGGTTATTCCACTGCCACAGGGACATCAGCATCTTGGGCCTGTGATTGTCCAGCTACTGGGATAAGGCCAATACGTCAACTTCTGAATGTTGTGGACCAGTTTATAAAGGTTTCTTCTTCCTCTCTGTAGAGAAAGAGACATTCAGAGTCACTCACTTTAAACTGCCTTTGAAACAACAGAGCTGAATTAAAGATATTGGACCGAATTAGATTTTACTTTTAGACATGCCCCCCCCCCCCCCAGCGAGCTGGGTACTCATTTTACTGACCTCGGAAGGATAGAAGGCTGAGTTAACCTTGAGCCGGCTACCTGGGATAGGTAGTGAGCACAGTTTTAGCTGCAGTACAGCCGTTTAACCACTGCGCCACGAGGCACGAGAAAAAGATATTTAGAGTCACTCACTTAAACTGTCTCTGAAACAACACAGCTGAATTAAAGATATTGGACCGAATTAGATTTTACTTTTAGACAAGAGTTTTACCATCAGTCATCTTTCCTTGCGAGGGCTGGCCCTACCTTATCATTATGCAGTGTAAGTGACAGAGGCAGCCACTAGGGGGTAGAAGTGGCAGCTTCTGGGCAGTCCTCTCTTGGCTCCCATTCCTTCTTCTTTAGGATGATAATGCTATCCTTCACTACCTTAAATTAACATCTAGTGCTTAGGACAGCTGAAGATACTGTCTAGTCCAAGTACTGAAATAAGATTCATCTGCCAGTTTGTTTATTTTTTTTACTTTTATACATGGAAGCAGAGAGAGTGGCAGCATATCATTTGATTCAGGCAGAGTTTTACATAATTAGTTTTTGGCCTGCAACTCCCAGCATGGGCACAGGCTGTGGTAGCTGGGAAATAATTTGGAAACTATGATTCAGAAGAGTAACAGAGCAAAATGATGGCCCCAAGAAGCCTATTGAGCAACCTGTGTGCATTGTTCATGGAATTTTAGTGGGGGGAATGGTCCCAACAACAGCAATTCGAACTTGTAATTCTTTCCTGGTTTTCTACCAGGAGAATTTTTTTGAGAATTTTAATCCCCACAAAAGGTACTTTTAGGTGAATAGCTCAGCTCCAAAAGGAGTCAGTTGAAAGACATTGTGCAATTAGTCCATCTTTTTTCTGTTTAATATCTTTTTTTTGTGCTAAGAAAAAGGCAGAAGCCATGGATGAAATCAGGAAGGGTTATAAGCACTCTCATAAAATTCAGTGAGTGAAGCAGGACATTGGAGTGGTAAAAGTTCAGTCTGGAGCTATTGAGTGCCCAATATGGAAGCAAAGATGGCTTAGCTATCATCCTTTGACAGGTGGCACAAGTAGCAGTCCATCTGAAAGCATCCTCTCCTGTTTGCATTTTATTCATCATCACGTACCATTTAATCTTTTAATTTTCTTCTATTTTCCCTCATCAATATCTAAATAAAGGAATCCTGTGTTTGAAACATTTCGGTGCAAAGAGGCCATTCCAAAGCGCTCTCTGAGCATTGTTTTTACACTGTAGAATACTTCCCAAAATGAAAATAGGTTTCCACACTCAAAAAATCAGAGCAACTTGAGATATTTTGCTATCTGAGGCAAATAACGACATGGTGCCCATCCTTATCCATATATGGGAGTTGCCTAGATGGATAATTACTTTTTTCAATCCTAGCCACAGGATTCTTTAATCTTTCTGCCAACAGCTGAAGGCCCACCTCTTCAGGCAGGCTTTTAATAACCATATCTTTGTTCCTGAATGCTGGTTTTCAGCAGAGTTTGTTTTTAAAGCTCTGAGTGTTTTAAATCATTTAATGTATTTGAATTACTTTTATAGTTTAATTATTTTAATGTATGCTTCATTGTGTTTTTAATTCAGTTTTTTAAGACTGAGCCACATTGAGTCACTTTATCAAGAGAAAGGCAGTCTATAAATAAAATAAATAAACAGGGCAACATCTTCTGTTGTATTGAGAGTGGCAGGCTATCATAGTGGATTAAAGTATAGCTCTGACTTTAATATCAAGCATTAGTTTTCCTAGAAATGCTGGACATTTTCATATGTGACATAACAGCAAACACTTTTGTTGTTCAAATGGTGGCAAACCAGTGTATAGCTTAGTCAATATTGGTTTTCTTTCTCCTTTACAGACAGAAAAAAGCCGAAGCCCAAGCTACAGGTGAGTAAGTGAGATTTTTTCTTTTTTTTTTTAATATCTATGTTCCACTACTCCATGTGATGTCACTCCAGTGCTTTTTGCCCCTGCTATTATTTCCTATAGGTGTATTCCTGTCCAAATCTAGTTAACCCATCTGCTTATAGAGTGAAAACAAGGACAGGACTGCTATACTTTTAACAGCTACGTGCAAGAGAAAGTTTCCTCTTCCTCTTTAATACAACCATGTTTAGGTCAATTAAGAACACCTAACATGCAATGCCAATAAAGGCCATAAACTTTAAGGAAGCCTCATCCTTCAGTTTTCCAAATCTGAGGAAACTAAAGTGATAGGACTAAATAATAATATGACATTTTGGAAGCATTAATTCATAGGGACGTAGTGACTGAAATATTGTTGCTTATCATACTGTAGTCAGTCACATCTGGAGTAGACCCACTGCATCAGTAGAGACTCGATGAGTCAACTCCTCTGTAAGCTCCATTAATTCAGTGAGCCTATTCTAGTTCTGACTCACTATGCTAAGCAACAGGATTTCAACTCATAGGTCAGACTTTTTTGAGAGCACGTAACTAATTCAATTATACGAAAGGTGCAGGAATACTGTTCTGCTTTTCATGCTGCCAGCCTGTATGCTTCCCATACCAATTTGGAAGTGTGAACTAGAAGTCTTTTGTCTGTTCCTGTTGTCTGTCTCCTACATCCTCAGAATGGTTGGATAGCTCAGTGGTATAGGTCTCTGGCTGCAGAGCCAGAGGTTGGGAGTTTGATTCCCCACTATGCCTACTTGACAGAAGTAGGGCTTGATGATCTGCAGGGTCCCTTCCAGCTCTAAAGTTCTAAGATGATGACGTGGTAGAGGGTGAAGAATGTACATACTTCGATGTGTGAACAGTCTGCTTTGTTTTGCAGGAAGTACATTATCATTTGTCACATCTAGTACTTGCAAAGTCTGAATTATATGCACTTCTGTTTTGTAAACAGTAAAATATGTAACATTCCAGGTGATGCCAAAATCCCTTCATCAAGCAATAAATGTACCTCTCCCAGCTCCCAACCTTTCCCCATCCTGAAAGCCAGGCTAGTTTAAATTCAGCCAAGTGGCTCATTTAGAGCAAGCTGTGTCAATAAATCATGTTGCTGTATTTGGGCCAAGGAGGGTCCATTGCTATTTTGGGATTCAGTTGCTTATTGATCTTGGCAGTCAAATGGAAACTATTGATTTTGCTGGAAAAATTTATACCTGACTTAAGGAAAATGTCTTTCGTGAGATGTGCTGTCCTTTACTGCACAACCAAGTGCTCCATGGAGAACGTAGAAAGAAAGAGTCTGCAATGGGTCACAAAGTTGGCCATATACACAGGGGAAATTATTGAGGAAAAGATTAAAATACTCTCCTTCCTGTACTGGAAACTTAGCAAGTGTGCTTAAAGCTTGTGGAGCCCACATGTGACAAGGGGAGTGTGTTAGCTCCACTCCTCTTCTTTGTCACTTTAATTGCAGAAACACAACAGATTGTATGGGGAGGAGCATTCTGTGTGGGTAGATTTTTCATGTGATCCAAAACTCAGCCCCACCCCCATCCACCGTGTCCCAGTCCACAACCCATTCCTGCCACAAGCCTCAGTTCTTCTTGGTAAAATGTCTCCCTTACCATGCTGGTTATTCCCATGAAACCTTGGCAAGGTCTGACAGAACACAAGCGCCTCTGCATTTCAAGTCTGCAGTATGGATTCACATTAGATACTCGTGTGGAAATCCCAATACCACAGCTAGTGGAACAGGCAGACCACTCCGTGCTCCATTCTTCACACCGACTGGGGAGAGTGATTGACGCCATCCCAGGCAACCTTTGTGCTGAACAAGGAAGGGAAATAAAAAGGGGAATGCTCAGAGAGCTAACACACTTCTGAATTTCACAATAACAACCTTCCAGTAAGGTAGTCTACGCATCAAAAACAACAAAGCATTTTGAGGAGCCTTAAAAGACTAATAAATGTTTTAGAAATGGTTAAGAGTCGGACACAACTAAACGACCAAACGACGAGTCAGACACGACTAAACGACCAAACGACAATGAAACATCTTAGAAATGGTTAAATATTCTAAGAAACATTTTTATGTATGCGTTTACCTAAATATAATCCTAAATATAATAAATATGCCAGATGCATTGGTTAGAGCCAGGTGATCCAGTGAAATCAATGGGGTGCAAGTTATTCATGATTAGTTTGTGGGATCAACACTCTCCATGACTAAGCCTGGATCTAACTGCTGAGTCTGATGTTCATTATACTCAGCAATAGCACTTTTGTATTCTCTTTTGAGATGTAGTGTTTCTTTTACCAAATAATATTTTATATTTCAGAAGTACAGTTTAGTTGTGAAATGTCCCTTCTTTTCAGCTTGCATGATGTTACAGTTGTTGTTGGAGGTACCTCAAGAGAGAAATGAGTATGTAGGAAGCATTGAAATAGCAAGCTACTTAAACACATTTTCTAATGATTGTGTGAAGCTCAAGGTAGAGGGAGTAGAGCTTGGAAGTTGGGGGATTCTGACAGTTGTAATGCAATAAAGTAATTTTTCCAGTCTCTAGAGAAGGCAAGAAATCTGCTGTCATAATACAATGCTCCATTCCCATGTCATTTAGCTCATACTGACGTGCACAGCATTTCATGACTCTAAATGACTGTGCATTTAGGCCAATTTTTATAAAGAAGTGCAATAGCCTACCAAATATTTTATTGGCTTGCTGCATTTCTATGTGCAAATGAGAACCACAATGTTCTGCCTTCCTCTGTCAGCCCACTTAGGGCAGAAAGAAACATTATACATAAGTCATGGTTAGAATAGAAAGCATCCGGACCAGCATTCCTGTGCTCAGGGGAGCCGAATACCATCTGCCTTCTACAGGTCACTGTGTGAGAGACAGCGGGACTGTGGCTGGGCTGCTGCCAGCTGCCAGATTCCCCGAGGGAACTGGCTGGGAAATAAGCTGGGAAACGGGGGAATTTGATGGGGCTTCTGGGGCAACCAATAAAGACATTATATGGCAGGGGAAGACATGGCGGTGGGAATAGAGCATGCCAGTGTAGGAGATAGGAGGTTAGATACCTTACACCTATCCCCCTTTCTAGCTCTACTCCCAACCAAACAGTACTAGGTGACCCTATCAGCCACCCCCCGGGCCACATGGTACTGTTGTTAAGTGCCATGTCGGCAAAAAATAAGACCGCCCTCATCCATGATTTAATTTTGGATGAGGGGGCTGACCTGGCATGCATTACTGAGACCTGGGTGGGAGAAGAAGGAGCAGTTCTTCTATCTCAGTTGTGTCTTCCTGGGTACTTGGTCCAACACTAGGGTCAGGGAGGAGGCATGGTGATAGTCTACAAGGATTCCTTCCAGTTTTCCAGACTCCCTGTCCCCTTGGGAAATGGTCTAGAGGGCCTGTACTGTGTGTTGGGCTCAAGAGACAGACTGGGGATTCTGTCGGTGTACCACCCACCCTGCTGCTTACCAACAGTCTCACTACCTGAGCTGACGGAGGTGATCTCAGACCTGGTGGTGAGGAATTTTGGTACTGGGGCACCTCAACTTCCATGCCAAGGCCACCTTAACAGGGGTGGCTCAGGACTTCATGGCCGCCATGACAACCATGGGGTTGTCTCAACATGTCATCTGCCCGACTCATGAGAAAGGCCATACACTTGACCTAGTATTCTCAATGGGATGGGTGGATGGTGGTCTGAATGTGGTGGGTTTATCTTTGAGCCCGTTGTCATGGTTGGACCATTTCCTGGTAAAGTTTAGACTCTCTGCCACTACTACCCTCTGCAGGGGTGGGAGATCAATTTAAATGATCCAATGAATTTGTTACATGCTTTGAAGGGGAAACTGTTCAGATTCGTAAAGAATTGGACTCCACTGTTGATGCAGAGCCTATGGTTGTGTCCAGTTCTCTGGACTTAATTTATTGGATGAGTTTCAGTTGTTACAACTCGAGGGTGTGGACAGGGTGCTTGGATCGGTTCGTGCCACCACTACGCAACTCGACCCTTGCCCATCATGGCTAATAAAGGAATCTGCCAGGTGAGTTTGCACCTGAATCCTGGACGTCATCGACTTATCATTAAGAGAGAGAGTGGTCCCCGCCCTGTTAAAGGAGGCAGTGATTCACCCACTCCTAAAAAAACCTACGTAATCTGTACCCAGGTCTAGTGATCAACTTCCGACCAGTAGTGAACCTCCCTTTTCTGGGCAAGGTGTTGGAACATATGGTGACTGAGCAGCTCCAGACTCTCCTGGATGAAACAGATTATCTTGATCCATTTCAATTGGGTTTCAGGCTGGGTTATGGGATGGAGACTGCCTTGGTCGCCCTGTTTGATGACCTTTGCCAGGAGAAAGAGGGGGAATGCATCCCTGTTAATTCTCTTGGACCTCTTAGGGGCTTTTGACACCATCAACCATGGTGTCCTTCTGGACAGATTGGCTGGGATGGGAGTGGGAGGCACCATTTTATGATGGTTCCACTCCTACCTGGGTAAGCACTCTGTGCTGTGGAAGATGTTCTATATTTCTGACACTTTTAATTTTTCCAGCCCCTGACTTTTTCAAAGATTCTGGTGTTCTTTCCATTCCAAATATGAACATATCTGCAAATTCTGGGTAAATTCATATCAGAGCAAACAGAGGTGAAATTCTCACTGGTTTCTAGCAGGCAACTTTTAAAAGACAAGGACAGTTTGAGAAGTAAACTGTGGCTCATGTACAAAATAAGAATGGTAAATAAAGACCAAGATCCATGAATATTACCTGCCACGTTATCCTGCAAAATTTGTCTATCTTGTCTTTCGCAAATCCATTCTTGACAACACTTCCCTGGGATCTCCACACGCCTTGGATACGGGCAGTCCGGAGTTGGGAGACGCACATCCTCATTGCAAAGGGGAACACATGTGAAACCTCCTCCAGAGCAGCGGCATTGAATCTTACAGCTTGGCTGGAACACTTCCCCATCCTGGTAGATCTTCCCATTGACTTCGCAGCTGTCATCATCTCCTTCCTCGTCTGCAGCCAACATTCAAAGTGACCAAAGAAAATGTGACGCATCAGTCACAGACACCCAATCTCTGATAAGGTTACCACCTAATATGCTAGCTGGGGGAGGGGTTCTGGGAACTGCAGCCCCCAAAATTACATTTTTCCAAGATCTTGGCATTCACAGAATTATATGGTGGGAAGGCCCGGGCATAACTGTCTTCCTTTCATAAAAGAAAAAAGAAAAAGCCAGGTGGCCCTTGTACCAAATGGAAAAAATACAAGTGGGCAATACCTTTACTTAGTTAATTAGTTATGTTGCTATTATGTTGGAACCAACTCCTGGTGACCCTAAATTAAGGTCTTTCAAAGTAAGTGAAATATTTAAGAAGTGGTTTTACCAGTTCCACTTCTCCAGTGAGTTTTCATGACCAAGTGGGGATTTGAATCCTAGTCCCTCGCCCTGTGCACTACTGGGTACCTTTACTAAACCACCAACACCACAGAAAGGCTGCCTTTTGGGTCCTGCACACTCTTCATCAGGCTGCACGTCCCAGAGGTTTTGTTTTGTGTGTGAGAGGCCTGGTCAACAAGATGTTACAGCCTGGGTTTCATGCCAAAATGGAGGCTGCAAACTTGTAGGGTATTGTCTTTATCTGTATCTGTAGATGAAAGGCTGTCAGTAATGCAGTATCTTTGCCACTGCCCTAAACTGAAGCACACAGCTCCCATTTGGCTGGGAGTAAAAGCATCCAGGAACTGTAGAAACCAGTAGAAACTCCGAAACCCATTACCGTATGGCCAGCCTAAGGCAGAATCCTTTTTGTGGTCTAATGAAGTCATTACCTGCCCTTGATTTTGGATACCTTCTGAAACCTTCCTGTGTTTTCCCATTGCTTCTTCCATCTCTCCCCCCCCTTACCACTGACTAACGTTGGTATCATTGGGAAGGGGGTGTTTAGGAACTGAAGGGATTTGTTTCTTTCCCACTAATCTACTGGTAAAGTTCTTTTTCCCCACCTCTAGCTTGCCCTCCCCTCTTCCTGGTTTCCATTTCCCCTTCACTTCCTTCGTTTGTTAGCATCTACCTCCCCTTTCCCAATTTCCAAGCATACAGGAAGCATGGAAGGGTTTCTCCCACATGTGGAGATTGCATTTTCCCCTACTGACTGTAACTGCAGATAGCAACTGTAAGTAAAGATTCCTTTGCTTCACTTAAAATGCTTCCCAAGTGATTTTAATGCATAAAGTGTTAGGCACTATGAAAAGGGGTGGGCACTGAGACTTAAGTAATTCTATCATGCTTTCTCTGTGCAGTTGTTGCTTGTACCTGATACTCTGCTAATTATAAAAGATATTAATCAAATTCGCCAGTAGTCAAGAGTACCGGAAAAGTGAAAGCCTTCTAGCTTCCCCCCCCCATGTTCCTCAGAAACAGCCACTTGTGTGAAATTCTGAAGTTGATTGCTTTGAGAAGTGTGTCATCAATGTTACTGGGATAGCCTACTTGCCCTGTTCCTTGCTAGGGAGGAACCACAGCTCATTTGGTGGAGCACAGGATTTGCATATAGAAATTTCTAGGTTCAGTCCTTAGCATCTCTAGCCAGAATTTGAGGCACCTCTGCCTAAGACTATTTAGTCTCAGCTTCTCAAAAGAGGAAGTGCTCTTGCTACCCCTCCTCATCTTTGAAGTCAGTCACCTGCCACCCAGCCAGCCACTGCTATTGCTTTTCCTTGTCTCTCTGCTCTGCAGAAAAAAGAATACCAGGGCAGGCGGTTTCCACATAAAGATATGTCAGTTGCTTTGAGTAGCTCACATCTCTTTGCCTCAGGGATGAGCAACTTTGGTGGGTCCAGAGACCAAATTTCTGCCCCCAAGATCCTTTGTGGATTCCACAGCTTATGAAAAATTGGGTCCCGGGAATGAAGTTGGAACTGGCTGGAAGTCCACTTCCATTCCTGGGGGAAGGGGGAAGGTGTGTGTGGGGGGGGCAACACTGCAGGATGGGGCTGTAACCTATTTAAAAGGTGAACAATTTACTGCCTCTGGCATCCTGCCACCAGAGGCAGCTGCCCACTCTGCCTTGTGGCAGGCTGGCTCTGGTGCAGCTCCTTCACTAGAGTAGACAATAACAGGCTAGATAGCCCTTCACTGGTATGAGGCCACTTCTTGAGCTCTTTTTTAATTTATCTGTCTAGCTGACTAGTGCTGAAGCAAACGTCAAAGACACCACAGGTAGTTGTACCATCGTAAATTTTCAAAAGAAGGCTCTTGAGCAAGAACCCCGCTTTGCTGTTCTTGCTCAAGAGCCTTCTTTTGCTCCTATTTAGGTCTTGTTATGTTTTTGAGGAGCTGGTATTTGTTTTCCTCACATCCCTGTCACAGCTGACCTGAACTCTTTTAAGGAGGACAGGAAATCAGGGCATATTTACTGAGCTCTGTTTGCATTCCTGCCAGCTACCATGAGAGCTCCGGAGACAGAAGAGAGAGAGACATCACAGTAGTGACGTAAAAGCAAGACTGCACTGTGTACCTACTTCCTAGCCTACAAATCACAACCTTTGATCAATGTGAATGCAGCAGTACAACCATCCCCTTCTAGCCAGGTAAAAGATAAAGGTTCCTCTTGACATTTTTTAGTCCAGTCGTGTCTGACTCTAGGTGGTGGTGCTCATCTCATTTTTCAAGCCGTAGTGCCAGCGCTTGTCTGAAGATAGTTTCCATTGTCACGTGGCCAGTGTGACTATTTGAAAGTGGCAGCAGGGCTCTGATACACTAGTTGAGGCTCCCACTACCAAAAGGGCAAGGAGGGATTGTTCAACCAAGTCCTCATGGAACGGTGGCTTTTAACTTTCCAGTGCCTGAATCTTTTTTCTCTAGTGGAGTTCCTAGGTATATAAAGCACTTACAGGGATGTTTGCCAGTTATCTTTTACTTCCCCCAACCCAGTTTGCTTTTAGGCAGTGTTTAGGTTGCCTGAAGCAAGAAAAGTAGTTCAGAGCTAGGAGCAGAGTTTGGGTGTGTGTGTCTGTGGAACTAGCATTCACTAGCCATAAATGCATGAAGAATCCTGGGAGTTGTAGCCCAAAACAGAAAAAAAAGAGTACTTTGCAAGATGGTGATACTTTCAGTCTTCCAGATGGTTGGAACTTTATATATTAGAGCAGCGGTTCCCTGCCTTGAGTCCCCATATGTTCTTAGAGAAAACTCACAGAAATCCTGGACAGCTCTGCTAGTAATGACTTCTGGGTATTTTAGTCCAAGAGCAGCTGGGACCCAAGATTGGGAACAACTGCATATTTCTTGTAATAAACATTTTTTTTTGTAATTTCTTCCAATATGGTGATGCACACCCTCCCTCATCACAACATGATCTAGTGCTATGGAGGAGGCAAGGGGCGTGTCTACTTTAATAAGGGCCCATAAAGTATGGTGCTTCCCCATGAAAAAACACACCAGCAGCAAGTTTTGCCCTTTCCTAAAAGGTTAAGCTGCTTAAAAATGTAGTTCTGAGTGTCACAAAAAGGCAGCAAATACTTCCATTTTCATTTGTTCTGAAACAGCGATGTCTACATTGGCTTGGGCATGTCATGAGAATGGCTGATGATCGGATTCCAAAAGATCTCCTGTATGGAGAATTAGTGCAGGGAAATTGCCCCAGAGGGAGACCACAGCTGCGATACAAGGACATCTGCAAGCGGGATCTGAAGGCCTTAGGAATGAAGCTCAACAGATGGGAAACTTTGAAAGGCCATGCTGCACTGCCTGCTTGGAAGCAGGCAGTGCAGCATGGCCTTTCCCAATTTGAGGAGACCCTTGTTCAGCAGGCATAGGCAAAGAGGCAGTCCTGAAACCAGCAAAATCAGGGAGCTGGACAGGGGACAGATTGTATTTATCTTCAGTGTGGAAGGGATTGTCACTCTCGAACTGGCCTTCTCAGCCACACTAGACACTGTTCCAAGAACTCTATTCAGAGCATGTTACCATAGTCTCTTGAGACTGAAGGATGCCTACAGGAATTGTATTTATACTCTGACAGAGAGACAATGGAGTTTTCTGCCTGAGGCAGTGAAACAATTTGGTCAGCCTCAGACACCTTGCACCTTGATTTGTATGTAGAAAGAAGAGAGGTATTTGCACACCCTCAGGAGATGAAATGTCTTGTGCTTGTTCTGACCATATCTAGGCTTTGGTTTCTATACTGTGATGCTGAAGTAATGTATAGAAGCCATGTTCCCACAAACCCAATAAAAAGTTGTTGCCATTTTTAAAAAATTGGCCTCTTGAAGACATGAGGAAGTTTTCCCAGTTTTTTTAAATGCCTTATTAAAAGAAAATATATTCAGGGCAAGCAGGAAAGAATACGGTGCTCCAAGATCCAGGAATGGGCTTGTGTGGACTCTGGACCGAGGCAGCCAACTCTTGTACTGAAGGTGACAGGTGACAAACAGAACTCTGCAAAACACACACACATATGCATCTTCTACAAAACAGAACAGAAAGTCAATATTACTTCTGTGCCAAGCCACTGTGTATATATATACTAATATGTGCACATACAGTGGCCTAGGCATTGAAATAATATTGACTTTTTATTCTGTTTTGCAGAAGATACGGTCTTACAATTGAACAACTAGGATACAGAGGTCCTTTATTTGAAATACATCTCTCTGAGATTATTTATCATCCATTACATTTTTATCCCACTTTTCCACTACAAAGTGGAGCTCATGGCAACTTGCAATCTTTGTAAAGCAGTAAAACAGTAAAAACAAGTAAAATCAATCTGTCCACAAAATCATTAGAGTCAAATAAAACCCTCCCTACACTATAAACCATGGAAATAAATAAAGTTTATAGTTAAAAATCATAAAGTAGATTAGACATACACACTTTCTAAAAGTAGTGAGTGGAAGCCCATCACAATTCTAAAGTATGTACACTTCATAATCTGAGAGCCACATAAGGGAATGCCTCCCTCTATGTGCCTATTAAGTAGGATCCTGACATTGGTGGTATACTTAAGAAAGGCTCTCCTGAATATTTTATCTTCCAGACAACTTCACTACAAAACAAGTGGTCCCTTAGATAGCCAGGCCCTGAATGGTCCCAACAAGCAACTGATAAGTATTGTAGGTCTTTCAGTATCAACATCATATTCTTGTGATGTTGCGCATCAGTTAACAGCTTAGCTGCCACATACCTGTGAGTTTTGCTGTGCTGGACACATAACAATTTCAGGGAGACAATTTCATTTGGGAAAACAGAGTGGATAGAAAAAGAGAAAGCTCGCTGGAAAAGACAGTAATTCTGGGGAAAGTTGAAGGCAGCAGAGGAAGATGAAATATGAGATGGATTTATTGAGTAAAGAAAGCCATGGCGTTGAGCTGTCATTGCTGGGCCTTTTGGAAGTGCCTAGTGTATAGGGTTGCCATAAGGCAGAAACAGCAGGACAGTACGTAACAACAAAGAAAAATGCTTCTTTCCTGAGTCCAATCCAAATCCACCCAATAGACACATACCAGCCTGAAGCCCACTGGCTGCTGTTATAGTTTGGGACACTGATGTGTACTAGTGAGTAATTATTTTTACTCTGAACCCAAGCCACAATTCTAACAGAAGGTTTGTTGTACAGCGAGAATACAAAGCCTTTCATCTCCACCAAGCTGGTTTCCTATCCATAGCTATTCCTTCTGTATGCATCAGACACTATAGCTTCAGCCACTTTCTTCCAATATCCTTGAGGGGTTTCTAAGAAGAGTGATTAGGTTTCACTCACAATTGCAGATTCCTCCTCTCCTCACAGAGGCAGCGCTGTAGTCACAGACAAGTCCTTGGCTCTTGTCACACACGTGAAGATGGTTGCAGGGCTCTCCTAGCCTGCGGGCACAGATATGGCAGCAGCCACATCCATCCAGAACTAAGGGGGAGCCAGGAGGGCAGTGGGGAGGAAGCCAAGGGCAGTAGCATGGAGTTTGGCAATACTGCGTATACACCTGGAGAGAGAGAGAGAGAGAGAGGTAATAAATAGTGACATGACAAAATGTTTGGGTGAATCAGCGCTTGCTTTTGGATTACTCTTTTGCTCAACCACCATAACCAGTGGCATTGTCGCTCATAGATTTGGGTCAAACTGGACAATAGATGTAGAAAGTTCAAAAAGAGAGAGAGAGAGAGAGAGACTCTCCCCCACCCGTGGTATTCTGTTTGTCCACAGCATGTGATGTTCCTCACCTACATAACTTGCACTTATCATGCTTTGTTTGTTGATTGGTCACTGGAAGGCAAACACAGGCTTAATTTGGAAGTCTGGTTACTAAGGCAAGTATCTTTGAGGAAACCCTGTTATAGAGGAAATATCTATTCCCTTTAATATTTAGTTTGAACCTTGTGCTTCCAGGCTTAACTACATTTCCTCCCACAGTCTTTCCTGTCTTTTTCCTTATGGACCCAGTGGCTGTTCTTAAGTGCTGTCAAGTCATTTCCAACTCATGGTGTTTTTGATGAATGTGAGATATTCAGATAATGTTTACTATTGCCAACCTATCAGGAGTTTCCATGGCTGAGTAGAGATTTGAATCCAGGTCTCCTGAGTTTTAGCCTCATAGTCCACTATATCACATTGATTCTCACCCAGTGGTAACACACCCCAGATTTCCTTTTTTCTCCCAAATTATAACTCACCCTAATTTTCCCCTTTACTGAATACAGTCTTTTGTTGATGATTTCAAACATCATGTAGACTAACACCTGTGAGGATAAAATGTTGAGCAATACAGCATGATCTGTCTGGAACTCTGTGGCGGAAGGATGGGATAAAATTGGATTGAATGAAATAATGGTTTTTCCTTGGTTTATGCCAACTTGCACTAAGTCCAAGAGCTGCCACTGTGTGCAGGAGGGAGACAGTGAACTCATTATAGAAAGAGAAGCAGATAAATCCAGAGTTTTGAAAGGCAGTGCATGTAATGCCTCTGACATATTTCTCATTTTCTGAGAAAGAAAGAAAAATGGAAATTTAGTTTCCACGGTAACTCGCATTTGGGATACTCACTTGACAAGTGCCAAAGATTTTAAGAGAATCTGTTCAAAATGATTCTATGCATCATGTTTCTTCCCTATTGTAACCCATTTGCAACCTTCAGAATCTGTAGGTACATATATGTAAGTGTATATATGTACCAGTGGGTGTGGGTGTACGTGAGACAGGGGTCATAATGCCATTTTTCACCATATATAACAGAGAAAATGGTATTTTTCTATCTCATTCTTATAATCAAGAAGTAAAAAAAATACTGGAGATATTCACCACAATTCTGTCTTACAAATCAGATGATTTAAAATGTGCTATTCCTGATAATTAGCCTTTGCAAAAGTGTTCTGAAAGAATAGGCAAATATTCTGCCTTTATGCTATCTATAATAACATGCACTGCCCTAGTAACTATTATTTTGTCAGAGAACAAAATGTTTAAATCTTTAAACAGAGAACTGTCCAATTTATTTTAATGGCTGGGGTATATTGCTTATTTTAATGGATTTGCTTCCGACCAGTACAGCCTGTTCTATGTAAATAATATGCTGAATTTTGGTATGGTTGCATTCATTTCATTTCTCCTTCCAATTTGTTGTAATTTACTGTATCCTCGGTTAACACCTAACCTTTTGTCACAGGCCTCAAGCCCGTGTGTTACAAATTTAAAGAGGCATCCTGCTGTGTTGCAACCACTGCAGCAATACGGTGCCCAAAATTTAGAAGCAGCAATCCAAAACCACTGGGAGAATTCTCAAGTGTTTGTTTCCTGGCATGTGCGCGCGCGTGCGTGCGTGTTGTTCTGCCTTGTTTTAAATGAACTCTGCTGTTCCTCGGGTACTATCCTGCAGGAGGCAACAGCTGTATACACACTCTTCTTTATTTTTCAGAAGAAAAATTGGAGAACAGTTGAGCAATCCTGAAAAATAATGCCAGATTCTTGGCGTTCAGCCTAGGTAGGTTGTAGTACAGGGAACAGACTGTGAAGAAGAAAACTATTGAATGGATTACTATGCAGTATCTTCAGCTAAGATACAAGCCTCCCTGTGAGTCAGGAGCACTTAATGAATGAAGTCTAGATATAGGACCACGGAGGTAGAACAAGTTTCAGTAGGTGTGTGTTTTGGCCAATGGATCTTAAAATGTTGGCCTTCCAGTCTTGGTTTGCAACACAATTTTCTTCTTGGCTTACACACATATGACACTTAAACATGCATAATAAAGTACATCCATGTTTCTAATACACCCTTGAACTATTGTCATTTGCCAGACTGGAGCTGCTTGGTTACAAATTGTTTGGAAAGAGACGGGAGAGGCACAGAAAAACACATCCTTACTGTCTGAGCTAACATTTCCCAGCTTCCTTACCTTGGAGAGGAGACAGAGAAAGGAGATGAAGAGGAGGTGGGTTTTCATTCTGACTCTTCAGCACATCCCTCCCCTGGCAGTTAGGAGACAGCAGTGTGTCTGCAGTTGTTAAAGTCTGTGAGTAAAGTCCTGCAAGTGTTTATACTCTTCCCTGCTCTGATGTCACTCCTAGGCTCCAGTATAAACACGAGTAGGTTTGGACAAGCATCAAGTGGTGGTTTTTTTTTCTCCTCTTTTCCCCCACATTCCAGTTAAAATTTATTTCCATTCACTTCAAGGTGAGAACATGCAGCCCATTGACAAAGCCAAGGGGTACGAATTTACTCTGTACAGATTGATGAAATGGGACAGAGAGGGAAAGACAACACATAGTATCAAACAGATAAGATGCATCCTTTGAAAAGGTAAGCTTCTCTAGCATAAGAGGATGCTTTCAACTTGCCCATCACACAGAGCACTTAAGCAACGAGAGCTTCTATGTTAGCATGATGACTTGCACACTTGTACCCAGCAGCAGTTTATAAGGTGGGTGTGGGTGTTTATTCATTACTTACATTTATACAAGGTCTTTCCTCCAAAATGAGTTCAAGTTGGTACACAAAGCTCTCTTCCCAGTTTCATCTTCAGAAAAATTCTGAGAGGATGTTCAGACTGAAACTGACTAGTCCACTAAGCATTGAGTTCCATAGTTTACTGGGGAGCAGAATATGCACCTCCCTAGTTCAACCCTCTATCATGCTGGCACTTATACCAGTGGTGTAGTGATGCCTACGATCCCAGATAAAGCACTGGGACTTTCTCTATGGCAGGGACTATGACATCATACACATACACACCCTCAGGATTCCATATTTCCTCTGAGATTATCCACAATCCTCACAGCAATTGGAAAACAAGAGGATATACCCAGGAACAGTGTATTGTTGCAAAGCTATCCTTTTTTCAAAGCAAAGGGGAAGGACAGCATAGTTTCAAGAACATGACAGTCCTCCAGTTGAATCTTTGGTCTTCCAGATGGTTTGGATACCAACCTGAGAAGCTAAAGGATTAAGGCAGTAGTTGTCTGAAGTACCTGGTGAATTAAAGATTCCTGGACCTAGAGTGTCTGACTGAAGGTAAAGGAAGGTGCAGCCTTGTATCTTGTGTCCTGCCAAAGTTGCTCCCTGGGGATGAACCTTGTATGAATAGCTCTTGATTCTATTCAGTCTCTATCTGCATCTATTCATGCATGCAATTAATGTTCCACAAATTCCATACACCTCCAGTGATTCCTCGCCTAACCTAAAACAGAATCTACTAAACTCAACCATGCTCGCTACCTCAGGACGTGGTGGCGGCAACACAGCAATAGATACGCTGTGCCATAGATCTTGTACAGTTGGTTGAGTGCCAGCAAAAGCAGAAATCAGGACAAATCTTGTAACAGTTTATGCCACCAGGCACCCTGTTGAGCTTAGGCAGCAAAAGAAAGCTGCTGAAGTTTTTCTGAAAATACTGAGGAAGAAAGGTAGCCAAAACCACAAATACAGGAAGAGCCAATGGTCCATACCAAGGCTGTCCACTGACTAAGTGTTCCCCAGAATGATTTGCTTCCACCTCATCGGGTTTCATAGCAACTCTGGGAAAGCAGCAGGGGAATCAGGCAGCTCCTGGACTGTCAAGATGCCACTGCCTACCCTCCCTCTCCAGGCAACACCGTGGTTGCTGCATTTGTCCTGCACTATGTGTCATTTCATAAATTGCCAGGGATGAGGGTGGGCTATCTAAATCCCATGTGTTGACGCAAACTCAATGAATTGCTGGAAAGTCTCCATCATCCATTAGAATGGGAGCCAGAAGCATCCAGGGCTACACTGTACCTCTGACTGCTGTTGCCTCATCTACTGCCACACCAATGAATTTTAGCTCTGCCACCTGCCATTGCAAAACAAGTTAATTTTTTCCCTTTAAAACAAGAGAGAGCGAGCCTTGTTTTTTTTAAAAAAATAAATTCTAGCTCCCTGCGGACTTTGTTCTACCCAACCTTGCATAACAATAAATAAAGGCACATATATATGACAGTTGCCATGTTCAAAAGTGGGAAATCAAAGAATATAGCTTGGGGGGCTGGCAGTGGGGACCAGATTCTCTCTTCCATCTCTGAATAGCCCTGTCTGGAGAGCCAAGACCCAATTCACACACCAGTGGTTACCATCCAGCCAAATGTCAGCACTTTAAAAATCCCTTTCTTACAGCGGGAGAGATTAACATAGGCTTGCTCAAGTCTCTTCATTGAACTCATGGTGATTCTGTCTGTTGATACCCTCTTGTCACCATACAGCATGGCTCACAGAGACAACAAAAAACAGGAATATAGTTTCAGGCAGGGGAAAATCTAAAACAGACAATAGGAAAATAACAGAGGCAGGAATAAGGCTGGGGCTGGAAGAAAAAATATATATATAGGCAAATGCTAGGCATTTCCTCTAAGCTGTGCACCCATTCAGTTCTGCATTGGGTTTGCACAGATGAGCCACTGTTGCCTTACATTTACTTCCAGTTGTAACCAGAATCCCACGCAGAGGGGACAGAGCCCCAACCCAGCACTCCAGAAAAATAGAGGGAACATTGGCTACAGATATAAATTCTTAGGTCATTCTGCTAATAGAACTTTTTCATTATTTTCTGTTTCTCTGAGGCAAGAATCAGAGCCTATCCACACTGGCATATAGTTATGGTACATGGTTTCCAGATAACACTGTTTGGCATTGGAAAAAACACCTCATCCCTTTACCTCAAATGCCAGATGCAGGGGAGGGGTATCAAGAGACGGGTATCTAGTTGTCTCATGTGCTCCCAGAGGCATCTGGTGGGGCCACTGAGAGACACAGGAAGCTGGACAAGATGGGCCCTTGGCCTGATCCAGTAGGGCTCTTTTTATGTTCTTAATGTTTTTCTATTTAAACGATCCATCCTTACCCTTTAAGGGCTAGCCCATATCTTTCTGGCAGAGGGCTAGGACATGCAATCTTTTGGGGACGATTTATTGAAACCCAAAATAGCTCTTTGTTCTGCCTTTACGGATGGGTTCTTGAGTCAAAATAGAGGGTACTGAGGATAAGGACCTTTTAAGCACCGGCCAGATTGCACCAAATTTCACAGTGTGGAGAAGCCCTTAGTTAAGATTGTTCTTGCATAGAATGTTCTTGCCTCTTCCACCTCATGATGTTTTTTTTTTGAAAGTCTACCTGGAAAGGTAGAAAATTCTGCAATATCAAGATCAGACAGAGTAAGAGGGCTGGCATGCCTATAACTGAAGCACTGAGCCTTCCTCCAGGTCTGAAATGGTCTCAGTCTAGCTTTGACCCAACACTACAAAATACTTCTCATGGACACCAAGCTGGAAATGTCACACACTAACCATGAAATACAATTCCTCATTCTTCGGGTGGTGTAATTTACTTGGTACTGTGAAGTAAATGCACATAGTAAGACTTGTAGGCAATGTCACTATTACCTGTATTCTGCTTTCTGCAGTTAGGAAAAGATATTGAAACCCTTTAACCTCACATAAAAATAGGAGGCAGAAGATGGATTTATAAAACCCTCTGCATCATTTCGTCGTCAAAATATCAAGGGCATTTTATAATACTGCTTCATTTTAGCTTTTTTCATCATATCATATGCTCCAAATGTGTTCTACGTGTGGAATACAGTTTCATTGTTTGCTTAATTTAGTCATTATGTCAGTTGTGACTTTTTCCGTGGTGTTCAACAGCTGAACTCTCTTCCTGTGGCCAGTTGTGTAAGATAAAAAGTTGACATAAGGTTAGGAGTAAAATTTCCTTGCATTTGAAAATGGCAGGTTGTCTTGTGTTTCTATGGAAACCAGGAAACCAAGATAACTCATTCAGATTTTGTGCAGCCAGACGTGCAAGTCCATTCCATTGGACTGGAATGCTAAACAGATCTCTAAGAAAATTTTTGGCATACCTTCCATCCTTGTGAGATGAAAACTGATACACTTGCTTTAAATTAAGCCAGAACATGTTTATTAAATTTATCTAAGTGGTATGAAATAGAGCTTTGTGGGTACCATGTGTCTATAAATAGTTTGAGAAATCTTGACTTTCCCATATAACTCAGAAAATGCACATACATTTCTGAAGTAAGAGAAAGATGCATTAAACATTAACAAGGACATTAAACATGCAGAGTTTTGGAACCCAATTATATACCAGTAAAATTGTACTTTTGACACCACCTATATGATAATATTTGTAGGTTTTACATAATATTTTGAAGCATTTGACTAACTTCATGTACTGTACACGATCCCATATGTAAGCAACATATTTCAACAGAATGGTAGACTGGATTGTGCTACCCCATACTGGAAGCAAAGCATGCCATTTTATAATGTTCTTAAATGAGAAATAAATCAAAACATTGTTTTAAAAACAAAACCTCAGTGTAACACAGAGGTTTACATCTTAAAATGTAAAAATACCCTTATGTTTTAAAAAGAAAACTATTAGTAAAGCTTAGGGGAAGAACTTTGTCTCAGACGGCTTCTGACAAGGGGTCTCTGTGTCTATTTCCTTCTTTTGATTGGGGATCACATTATGGTATGGCTGGGCACCGAGCAATGCATAACTGCACGAGGCACCCAGAGGTTCAAAATGAGGTGCCTTCAACCCCTACATGCCCCAGAAATTTTTTAAAAAGCAGTTGTGCTTCAAAATGTCCCTTGTACCACACATGATGGATAAGTCAGGTCTTCTTGTGGAACTGAGAAAAATGATTCTCCGGAGTCATCATTTAATTCTACAATGGCTGTTCTTGTTTAGTGCCATCATTTACATACAGAACTAGCATTATAGAAGTAAAAGGTAAAGGTTCCCCTTGACAATTTTTGTCCAGTCGTGTTCGACTCTAGGGGGCGGTGCTCATCCCCATTTCCAAGCCATAGAGCCAGCGTTTGTCCAAAGACAATCTTCCGTGGTCACATGGCCAGTGCGATTTAGACACGGAACGCTGTTAATCCAGTTTTGTATGAAACAGTAGTAAAGAATTAAAATACTGTAAGTATTTGTAAGAATCCATGTTAAGAAAGTCTGTAAGATAATAATTTATACAGCTGGAGTGATACAAGAATTGTATCAGCTGTAAAAGAAAACCTAGGATTGGCTGAGCCAAGAATAAAGCCAGCAGCTCCAGCACACACACTGGTGGTGGTTGTGGGATGGTGATGTAATGTCATGAAGAGAATCTTGGAGAAGAAGACTGACTGCTAGACTGATTTACAAGGACTCTGAATCTGATTTATGCCTAGACTCTCTTGATATTGCTGTGAATGACCATTGGACTGTACAAGGACAAAGCTGTATGTATGTATCCTGCAACAAACTTGATTTAATATAATTTTC